ACCATACTTCACAGTTGATCCACCCAATGCACCAGGGAGCCTTGGGTGTGGCCTCACAGGTGGGTCCCTAGAAGCAGGCTCACTAAAGTGTCTGTTTCGCTTTCCAGGAAACCCCAACCAAAGAGCTGGGCAACTGTGGAGGAGAAGCGCATGGTCCTGGGCCCAGTAGCCCAGCACCGTCCTCAGGCTCACCTTTCCTGGGCAGGTGCATGAACTCCGAAAGTTCTACAGATGAAGAAGGTATTTGACTGGTTTGGTCAGTTGCTAAGGCCATGGAGAGGTAAAGCTTCAGAGAATGCTGACATGTTTGAAAGGGAACAGCTTGTTTTAAATGACTCCTGGACGACACCCAGTCCCTGTGTGCCCTGGCTCTGCCATCTGTTGGCGAAGCCTGTCTGTAACACACCTGTGCCCAAGGCTCCCTCTCCTTATCATGAAGTGATATCAGGTTGATGTTCTGGTTTGCAGGTGGAGGCTTCGAATGGGACGATGACTTCTCCCCAGATCCTTTCATGTCGAAAACGACAAGCAGTCTCCTCGGTTCCAAGCCTTCTCTTCAGACCTCCAAATACTTCTCCCCGCCACCACCAGCCCGGAGCACGGAGCAGAGCTGGCCACACGTGTCTCCCTGCTCCAGGTTCTCCATCTCCCCTGCCAACATTGCCAGCTTCTCTCTCACGCACCTCACGGACTCAGACATCGAGCAAGGAGGTGAGAGGAGCCCTGTGTGTACTGGGGTGGGGGTGGTACTTTCAGCCAGGAGTGCCTGCCTGCCCTAGACTCAGGGATGATGATCTGATGCTTGCTTGCTCTTTCCTGAGTAGATTATGAATTTCTTCTTAGAAAAGTCTCACAATTTAGAGTAGGAAGAGATACTAGGGTTCAAACTTGGGTCCTCAGGCATGTTAAGCAAGTGCTCTGCTGCTGAGCCATGCCCCCAGCCTCTCACTGGGGGGGCTAGGCAGGTGCTCTACCACTGACCTATACATCCCCAGCCTTCATTTCACTTATTTGCTTTTTTTTAATTTTGAGACAAGGTCTCATTTAGTTGCCCTGAATGACCTTGAACTCACTCTATAGCCCAGTCTGACTTGAACTGTTAATCCTCCTGCCTCACACTCCCAAGTAGCCAGAGCCAGCATGCCCAGTGTAAACTCACAATCTGATAGTACCATGGGCCACACCTCCCATTGTGCGAGTTGCTCTGATTGCATGCTGCTGGCTTGGCTCTGGGGCATTGGGAGGTCCTGAAGGGTGCTCTTCCTTTTTCTCTTCCACTTTGCCACTGGCCCAGCCGCCCAAGGTCCCACTGCTTACCCAGAGGAGTGTCCTCCACAGGGTACCTGCTCCCAGGGATACTTGACCTGTGGTTTGGACTTAAGCCCAGGCACTTTGGCTCTTCTCTGGAAGTGTTGATTTTGCCATTAAGTCTTAGTCTCCATGTGATACCAGAGAGTCTGCTGGGAACCCATGGCAGGCCCAATTTGAAGTAGCAGTACCTGACCATATGGGCCCCTTTCCCCATACCAAGATCCAAAGATAAATGTCAGTAGGTACATTTTTTATTTGAAGTTTACAGAGCAAACAATAAATATGATTATAAAGCACTTCTGTTTGTTTGCACAGTTTCACCTGAGCCTATGAAATAATGCCCATACCTAAGGATCTCTCGGGCAGGTGTGGGGGGGTCAGGGTGGGTTACTTCTGTGCCCATGTGGCGACGGAGCCACTGTGAGAGTCAAGCAGCTGTGTGTGCAGAGCCCTGCGGGCTGCGGGAAGGACAGATGGGGCAGCAGGAGGGCGTGGGGCAGCCAGGAACCAGCTGTGACTCCTCCTGCCATGCTGGTCTGGTCACTTCATGCTTAGTGTCTGGGGTGGTCAGTTCTTAAAACCCACTCTGTCATGTTGTTTTCTGTCCCAAAAACAGGCAGCAGTGAAGATGGAGAAAAGGATTAAGCTTCTGAGGACACTCTCCTGGCTGGCTGGAGCAGCCTTCCTGCACATCAGCCCAAGCCAAGTGATGACACCCACTCCATGGTAGCTGGTGTGAGACTGTGAGATGGCACAGGAGGTGATGGGGAGCAAGTGGCCTTGCCAGGAAGCTGGCCTCCTCTGCAGCCCACCTGTGTCCCTCCACACTTCAAGTGCTCCCATGCCGGGCATCCTGTGGGAGTGGCAGCATTGCCACACCACTTCTGCCTACCAGTGGGGGGGCCTGTGAACCCCAAGGCATGGGTCTGTTTCCCTGTTTTGGCATCCCCCTACCATGCCTCTGGTCTGGGCAAGAGTACCATGGAGGGGTGCACCAGGGTAATGGTCACAAGTGAGCCATATTTACTGTTTTTAAGTCACTAATTGCTCTCTGATTGCACTGTGGGTTAGTGTTGTAAGAGTCCCCAGTACTGTGCAGCATCGTAAATTATTCAAGGAAAACACTGCAGGTCAAGCTGGTGCTGTCCGCTGGTTTGATTTTTTTTTTTTTTCCTCCTGTCTTGTTTGCTCTGCATGGAACTGTAACGCTTCAATATTTTGAGTGTCCTGCTGTCTTCAGACTTGTGGGAATTGTACATAGGCTCTCTTTCACAAATAATACCAATTCTGGGTGTTAAGAGTTCTGTGTTCTTAGAGGAAATATTTTTGATGAGTCCATAAATGCTGCTCTGTTTCATCAATACATAGAACACTTTTGTCTCCTGTAAGGTGGCTTCCCTGAGCAGCTGAGCGTCCTGCAGCAGCCCCTCCCCCGCAACCCGCCCACCCCCACCCCATGATTTTAAACCTTTTAGCAGAAATCTGAACTTTGGTAGAGCACCTGGAACTCAGCTGGGGCTCCTAGTTTCCAGGGCCATTTTCTGGTGTGGCAGGTGAGGCCAGCCATAGGCAGTGGGTGGCCACTGCGCCACCTCCTCTCTGAGGAGGCTGGCCTACAGGGCCCTGTGTGCTTCAAGCAAGCAGACCCTCTGGCAGAATCCCCATGGACAGCTCTGGGTGCGGAAAGGTGGTTTGTCTACTTTTTGGTGCAGCAAGAGGAGACTATTTACAGACGTCTGGAGCTGCGTCTTCCTCTCAGAGCCACTCCAGGCCACAGCACCCAGGAGACTGGCATGCCCTGCAGCTGTGAGAAGGACGAGGGACCCTGCAGAGCCCCAGCAGCCCACACTTATCTTCCTGGATGCCCCTCCATGCCCTGCCTTTCAACATCAAGCACTGAGCGCACCCTCCCCCCCCCCCCAGACCCCCCCCCCCCCAGAAGGAATTAGCACAGCTGCAGCATGCCATCAGCAGGACTCTGGGATCCCCAACACAAAGCTGGCCTTGGCCTGCCATCCTCCAGTCCTGCTTGGACATAGGGAAGCACCTGTGGCCAGTGCAGTGTGGCAGTGCTGTGCTGAGCGGGCACCGCACCTGCTGGGGTGTGTCTCCTCACCCCAAATACTTCCCGGTGCTGACCCGCTACCCAGACTCCAGCATGACACTGGGTGAGTCTCCAGGCCCTGGCTCAATGTTAGTCAGAGGGCCGCAGGTCCTGCAGAGTGCAAGTGGGTTGTCAGCTGAGGTTTACATGATGAATTGACCTTCGATACCAACTCTGATTTGCTTCATGAACTTTTTATACTAAGTAATAACTTTCCCATGGAGGAGAGTTGAAAGCAGAGTCCTCTTTCTCCAAACCTGGTGCAGACCAAGCATACCCAGGCTCCCCAGAAGGCATTGGATCCTGTGATGTGTATATTAAAAGCAGGGCATTTGAAAGTCATTTTGCCAAAATTGTCATAACTGAATTTTTTGCTTGTGGACTTTCTGAAATTTTCTTTTAAAATTTTTTTCTCTATCTACCAGTCTTAGTTGAGAGATGAGATGCAATTATATTTTTTTTTCAAATTATAGATTTAAGGAGTTCAGATTTAATGACTAAAATCATGCCAATCCATAGATTCTATGTGTAGCCTTGTTTGCAGTCAGCCCAGGATAAATTGATTGGCATTTGGGGGCTGTACATCTTTTACCATGTTAAGGAGATTTTAACAACATGATTCCCATTTTTAGTTACATCTATATTGCACTCATAACTAATTGCCAAAAATAAAGCATTTTATATATTGAGTTGGGGATGGGGTCGATCTTATTGTAGCATTCCAGGTGGGAAGACTGTAGCCCCAGTAAACTCACAATTCAACACATCCTCCTGAAATCTCAAGCAATACAAAGACATTTCAGCAGAACAGCCCATTTTTTTAAATGTGCGTATGCGCTTTGCTGTCCGATCTGGATTCTGTTTTTACTGATAACTTGGTTTCCACTGGCAGGTTTTCATTCCTGAATGCATTCATTCTAATAAGTTAAGCAGTAAGATCAAGTCCTTTAATGAAAATGATGAACTCTCCATTTCCTTCCTTTCTATATGCCAACTTATAAGATGACTCGGTCATCAGCCAGAAAGAGAAGTAAAGCGTGTGCCCCCGCCCCCCAACCTTTGAGACCCTGTGTGGGTCAGACGCTGTTAAACTTAAGACAGATTGTGAACAGAGTCCTTCCTATTTTAAAATGTTCAGGCCTGACTGTTTCTAAGGAGATGGGTTTATCTAAGGAAAGTCTTTGTATAAGAGTCTCCCAGCCATAAAACGCCTTTCAAAACCTCTTCCTTTTATTCGTAATTCCCATAGGGTGTTTGTAGAATTAATGACCTATTGCATGTCTCTCCCCATGGCCCGGCTTAGGGAGATAACTCTTAGTCTTTCCACCACAGGGCCCTTCACCTGAATTCCAACTTGGACCATGTGTCAAGCTCCGTATGTTGTTTCCGAGCATCTGTCTCTCAAGAGGTCTCCTTCCAGTAAGAACAGGCAGACACAGTTCCTTCAGAGTTAAATCTCAATATTCCTTAAGTAGTGAATGGGTTGGCACCAGTCTTGGCTGCTAGAAAACTCCATTTAGCATATAAATTTCTTAAAGGTGTGTTGACAGTATTGCGTTACTGACAGCCGGTTCAAGACCGCGGCTGTTTCATTACCGAAGTTTGCACAGGCGAAGCTGGGTCTTGATAATGGGGCTGGAGCATGCACCCACTTTCATCCTGCCCACAGCCAAGGATCTGAGGGCGGGGGTTGCACACACCAGGCCTGCCACTTACCAGGTTGTACTGAAGTTCACAGCAATATAACAGTTAATGAACTTTGAGTTTAAATTGTGTACATTTTTCAATTGTAAGATTTTTACTGTATATTGATGCATAGTGTGATTCAATAAATTGCTTGTAATTTAAAAACTATTTAATATTCAAAATAAATATAGTTATATATTTATAAACTCCGTTGCTGCATTTATTCTGTGGTTTTTCCACTTGCGGGAGCGGGGGTGTTGGCCTGGTACTGTGGGTCTCTGAGTCCCCTACCGTCCTTAGGGCATGAAGATGCTTCACAGGCGACCGCGTGGTCTGGCAGATATAAGACCTTGGTGAGTGTCTATAAGTATGGCCTTTCTATTTTCTGAAGAATTCAGACGAGGTTCAGAGGTGTCTTGGCCCAGCCTTCAAGTCCCACTCCAAGAAACTAACCTCTGCTCAAAGCCAGCCTTCAGACTGGGTAGATAAGCTGAGTTGGTAAAGAAGATACAAGTCTAATCCCCAGAACCCACATTTATTTAAAAAAAAAAAAAAAAAAGCTGGGCTTGGTGTGGTGCACACCTATAATCCCAGCACTCAAGAGGCAGAGGCAGGCAGATCTCTGTGAGATCGAAGCCAGTCTGGTCTACATAGAAAGTACCAGGCCAGCCAAGGGCTACATACTGAGACCCTATCTCAAAAAAATAACAAATTGGGTGTAGTGGACCTGCACCAACCCGGGGAGGAAGAGGTGGGCCAGCCAGCCCACCCTAATCAAGTTCCAAAAAAAAAAAAAAAGGCAACTTGGTGGATGGCACCTGAGGAACATCAAGTTTGACCTTGGACCTCCACACAGGCATGTGCACATGCACTACACACACCAAAACATCTTAGCACTGAGCTCTACTGTGCATACCTGTAATCTCACCTAGCACTTAGGAGGCTAAGACAGGAGGATTACCATGTGTTTGAGGCAATCTTGGGCTACAGTATGAGAGACCCTGTCTTGAAAACGGAAAACAGGCTGGAGAGATGACTCAGCAGTTAAGAGCACTGGCTGCTCTTACAGAGGACCTGGGTTTGGTTCCTAGGACCCAGTGGCAGCTCTCAACTCCAGTTCCAGAGAATCCAACACCCTCTTCTGGCCAGGTGTACTTACATGCAGGCAGATCACTCATATACAAATAAAATCTTTTTTTTTTTCTTTTGGTCTTTTTGAGACAGGGTCTCTGTGGTTCCAGCTGGCCTGGAACTCGCTATGTAGACCAGGCTGGCCTCGAACTCACAAAAATCTGCCTGCCTCTGCCTCCTGAGTGCTGGGATTAAAGGCGTGCGCCACCACGCCCAGCACAAATTTAAAAATTTTTTTTTTTTTAATGAGACAGGGTCTCACTGTCTTACCCTGGCTGGCCTAGAACTCGCTATGTGAACAGGCTGGCCTTGAACTCACAGAGATCTGAAATATGAAAAACAAAATTTTTTTTTGAAAAGTTAACTTTTTATTTTTTAAATAATGAGTACATATTGTGACATGCATGTGGGTGGCAAAGGCCAATTTGCACAAGCTGGTTCACAACTTCCACCATGCAGACCCCAGGGATCTTTGAACTCATGCCTCAGGCTTGGTGGCAAGCACCTCTACCCACTGAACTATCTCAATGGCCCATAATCTTGTATGATTTTTAATTACCTTGCAACCTGGGGAAACTGAGGCAGGAGCTGTCAAGTACAGCAGATGCACAGGAGAGGTTTTTTTTTTTTTTTTTTTAAACTGGGTTTTTAAAATGGGTTTTAGGTATGTGAATTATCAATTAAATACCTCTTAGTCCTAAAGGTGATGAAATGTTTCACCAATACTAGGGAATATCTAGAAAAATTAGTCAATTCTTAGGAGATGATCAACAAAAATCCCACAGACTGTTGAAGTAGATCCACTGCATTCAGCTAGAAAGAGACTTGGCAGATCTGGTTTTGTGCCAGGTCACATTTGATTATAACAGTCAGGATGTATAGAAAAGAAGACTCTATTCAGTACATATCAATATTTTATTTTCTGTCATTTACTACATTTAATTTCCCATTTATTCAAGATAGAAAATTTGTGACTGTTATTACTCTCACTTAGAGTTTCCTTTTTTTTTTTTTTTTTTCTGTAAAGAAAACAGGTTGTCAGGGGGGGTTTTTTTTTTTTTTTTTTTAACCTGGGCTTTTAAAACTACATACATTTCCCACTCAAATCCAGGCCCCCTCCCCCATCCATGCCTCCCTCTATCCCCCCACCAAACCCTATGCACTCTGCCGTACATGCAGAGTCCTGTTCATTTAGGTGTTCTTACCCAAATGTCCTTCAGTTTAAATGCGTCCGCTGGAGTCTAGTCAGCCCATCCAGTGTTTCTGCCTGGACAGTGACACCCTACCTCTTGGACTTTGGGCCACCTCAGAGCGCCTGTCCCACCCCTGACTGGGTGTCTGCAGAGATGACTGGGGAAAGCCAGAGTCTCCAAGCCCTTAGGAGCTGTTTGGTCAGCCAGGGAATGGGAGGCGAGGTCTGGCTCCCTTTGTTCAGGGATGTGACCACTGTTCATGTAAGATTACTACAGGGTGGCTTGTAACTATTCTGAGTCTTAACCCCAAGGCCAGGTGCACCCGCCAGGTGCGGTCCCGGGGCTCCCCCTCCCCGAGGGTCCCCGGAACAGGCTCTGCATACAAAGACGGAGAGAACGGAGGAACCCAGGGCTCTGCAGGACTAGCAGTCCCCAGAGCGAGGGGCGGCGTGGCTGCAGGTACCGCCCCCGACCCGCCCAGCGAGCTCATTTACATGCTCCCGCCGCCCCGCCTGGAGTGGCTAAAGCGACGTGTCCTTGTCCCCCGTGGGCAGCCTCGGCGCGTGCAGCCTCGGATCCCCAGGTAAACCAAGGGGTTTGCGGAACTCAGGTGGGGCAGAGGAGAGGGGACCCAGAGGCAGAACCAGGTGGCCGGCTGGGGGAAAGCCCAGGTGGTGGTAGCCATCCCCCCGCCCCGCAGTCTGGAGTCATCCACGTGGTGGGACCGGGGGCTCCCACAGGGCCTTGACAGTTGTCAACTTTGACCTGTGAGGTGCCCCTTTGTCCACCCACCACCCGCCGGTTCTGGTCCTAATCATGTGCCTGTGTCCTGTCCAGTGGGACTACAAACATGCTGTCCAGGGGCTCTGCCTACCCTATGGCAAAGGAGACAGGCAGGGTTGGGGGAGAGGAGGGAGAGACACCCTAAGTCGGGGTTGGGACCTGTTCATTTCTGGATAGTTTTAGCAAAGGTCATCTTAGCTCAGGAGGTACTTGTGGGTAGTAAGGGGTATGGGACAAGAGAAGGGTCTCCAGGTCAATGAAGGGGACAGTAGGTGAAAGAAAGGTCAGTGTGAGACCAAGCAGGGGTGGCGGACAGGTGAGTCAGCTCAGGGCTTGATGTGAATGGAAAGGACCCTGGCATCACCCTGGCATCACCCTGCACCAATGGTCAGCTGCTGGCTACTGATAGACCTGCACTGGGAAGAGGTGATGGGTCAGCCATGCTGCGTCTCCACTGGCCTCACTGAGTGAATGACCACAAAGTGACCTGTGTTCTGAATTTCAGTTCAAAAGGCCTCTCTTCCCAGCTACCACCTCCTAGGACAACCAGCCTGGAGCCATGAAGACCAAAAACCGGCCCCCTCGGCGCCGGACATCAATGCAGGACACAGAAGCCATCCCAGGTGAGCGGACACCCGAAAGACCCCAGCCAGGCTCAGGGGGTTCAGAGCTGGCGAAGGGTCTTCGGAGCAGGGCTGCCAGAACGGCAGGAGCAAGGGCTGAGGTCAGTCGGCACCGACAGGGATCCAGCAGCCGTCGAGAGAACAGTGTCCAGAGACGACTTGAGAGCAATGAGCGGGAGAGACAGAGGATGCATAAACTCAACAATGCTTTCCAGGCACTGCGCGAGGTCATCCCGCATGTGCGAGCTGATAAGAAGCTCTCCAAGATAGAGACCCTCACACTGGCCAAGAACTACATCAAGTCGCTGACCGCCACTATACTCACCATGTCCAGCAGCCGCCTCCCGGGTCTGGAGGGGCCAGGGCCTGCAGCAGGCCCTAAACTCTACCAACACTATCAGCAGCAGCAGCAGCAGCAGCAGCAGCAGATGGCCGGGACCACACTCAATGCCACCGAACCCCAGCCCCAGGGTCACCTGCAGCGGTACTCCACGCAGATCCACAGCTTTCGAGAAGGCAGCTAGTAGTGCTCAGCTCTGGGGTGGGTTGACAGTGGTGGCCCAGCCTGCTTATCCCAGCCCGGGTCCCTCCGTGCCACAAGCCCAGACTGGTGATAACATTTCTTGAGGTGGTGGTTTTTGTTTTTGAGACAGGATCTCACAAAGCTCAGGCTGGCCTTGAACTTCTGATTCTCCTGCCTCCACCTCCAAGGGCCTGCGCACCACCACACCTGGTTTAAGTGGGACTGGGGATTGAACTACCAAGGACTTTGTGCATACTAAACAGGTGCTCTACCAACTGAGCCACATCCTCACCCCATGGTTGTATCTCTAGTAACTCCATCTTCCCTGAAGGGTTCAGCTCAGCCACCAACGTGGGACAGTTTTTCGCAGTCACCCAAGGGGATAAGTGAATGGACTAGACCTTTAAGGCAGCTTGAGGCCCAGATCCTCAAGGAAGGCCTAAAGTAGATAGACTAATCATTCTTTTCTCTGGAGACTAATCATTCTTTTCACTTGTGGTGGCCAACGGTTGATTCCAGGAAAAACTGTAGTTACAGATTTCCCATGAGGCCAAGGCCAGGGAAGTCCCCCCTCCCCATTCTTGTCTTTGGGCTACATGGACCCTGGACCCGGAGTAATCAAGAGCATCACGCAAGGCCCCTCCAGGGAATATGGTAGAGCTGGATGGTGGCTCACTCTTTAAGTCCCAATTCCTTTGCCCCAACTCAACAACTGGCGGTAGAGGGGCCTCACCAGGCCCAATCATGTGACTTTAACTGAACAAATGGTTGCTGTCTTTTCCCAAGTGGGGACTTGTGGAAAGTTAGCAGTGTGCTCCCATGGCTGACTGTGGCACTCTGAGTGGGGCCTGGGGACCAAGACCCTATGTTCCTGAATCCCCCACTTCCCTTCTTCCTCTCCCTCCTCCTCCTCTCCCTCTTCTTCTCCCCATCCCTCTCCCTCTCTCCCTGCCTTTCTCCCTCTCCCTCTCCCTCTCCCTCTCCCTCTCCCTCCTCTCCCTCTCTCTCAGTGGGTCTTATGTAGCCAGGCTGATTCCTGAGCCCTCTACCTCCTCCACCTCCCAGTGCTGAGATTACAGGCCTGCACCTGTAAGGTTGCCATTTTATCTGTCACAAGGCAGGCTGATAGGATTTAGTGTGTTCTTGGTCTCTTTCAGGGCCCTCTCTGAAGTGGAGGCTGGGTTGACAGGCACGTCCCTCCCCCCACCTGGGGCTGCTTATTAATAGCAAGGACTAGGTCTTTGGCAGCCTGGCTGCCTGAATTCAGCTTCCTTCTGTGGGGCGTTCCTGCCCCACTGGCTCGGCCAGACTTCACTTGACTGTCAGCCACTGCTGGCGTCCCCCTCCTTTGTCTCTGCCCAGAACTGTCTGGAGTTCCTGGGGTGGGTGGGGAGGGGGTAAGCCCTTTATCTTTTTTTTTTTTTTTTTTTTTTTTTAAACAAAAAAAAAAAAAAAAAAAAAAAAAGAGGACGATAAATCTTTCACTGTGATATATCAAAATAA